ATGGGAAGTGGGGCCTGGGACTTAGTGCCCTGGGAGGAGGGGTTTTAGGTTTTAGGGTGTGCTGTTATCGGCTAGGGGCTCCTATCCCCACCCCTGCCTGCTTCCCACCCAAGACCTTGGTGCTCAGAGGTGGGTGGTAGGTGTTAAAGGCCCCCAGGCCTAGCTAGCAGGGAGCTGGGAGAGCTGGCCTTGGGGTGAGCTGGGGGGTGGGGTTCCCAGAACAGCTGTGTCCCTTGCTTCTCAGCCACTGGCTCTGATCCGATTAATCCCCTGGCCTCTGCTGTTCCTAGCCAAGCTGGATGTCTCTGTGTCATGTCTGCCCCGCTCCTGGTAGTGGGGAATGCCCTCAGGGGACAGGCCTAACCTCTCCCCTGCTCTGGGCTGAGAGTCAGGACTCCTGGTTTCTCTTCCTACCACAGCCAAGCCCTACCCTATCTCAGTTTCCTTCTGTGTCACAGGGAAATGGTCCTGTCCTCTCCTCTGGCCTGAGGAAGTGGATGAAGCGGAAGATGTAAGCTGAAGGCAGGGGACTCAGCTTTGGCTGGGAGTGCCAAGGAGCTGGGAGGACTGAAAGGAAAGGCATTGGAACGGTGGCATTCTCGCAGAGCACCCAAGCTCCTGCACCTCTGATGGCTGAAAAATAGGAAGGCACTGGTCTTCCCTCCCAATCTGGGGCTGGTGTAATTCCCAGGTGAGAGCTTACCTTGGTCGTGAGGGACCTAAGTCTCTTATCCTCCAAAGGGGCTTGAGGACTGCCCATTGGACAGTCAGTAGGGGAAGTACTGACTGGGGTCTGCCTCCCCCACCTTCCAGCCACATACATCCTGGATGCTCACAGAAGCCAGTTGCAAAGGGCTGAATGTTCCCATTGGCAGTTCCTGAGGGGCCAGGCCTGCCATCAAGGTCACCCAGCGTGTGGGTGTTGGGGTCCTCCATCCTGACTGGAGGGAGCAGGGGCCAGCTGGGTTGGGCTGCTGTGGGTGGCCCGAAGGCAGCACATGATGTGGGGTCCCTGGGCCAGACCAGTTGTGGCTAGGAGGGGGGAGGGGCTGCCTGTTTGTTGATGCTAGGTCTGGGCCCCGGCCAGGGCAAACACAGCCCTGAGGCCTTTCCCGCCACCTGCCGAATCTCCCAGCCCAGCCTGTGGTGGCAGGACAGCTGGCAGCCAGGATGGGACTCCGAGAGCTGCCAGGTGCCTTCTCTCAGAGACGGGAGGGAATGTCCATCCATGCAGTTGCAGTGAGGTGGGGTGAAGCCAGCTGGAGTGGAGGGCTGGGGGGAGCTTTATCTCAGCTCTCAGCCCAGCACCCACCTCTACTCCTCCATCTCCAGAAACTGAGACAGGGGCCCAAGAGACTGCCAGACACATGAAACAGAACTTAGGATCCCAGGATGGCTGAGATTCTCCTTCCAGGGTGCTGGCAGCCCTTTGCTCTCCTCCCTCTTCAATCATGTCCTCTCTGCCACCAGCCAGGTTGCCTCCTCTCACCATGTCCCCACCTCCCCTGACACATCATTCACATGGTGCCCCAAGACCTCTCTCCAACAATGAGGCCCCATCTTCACCTCCAATCCAGTCCTCCCCAGAGCCCAGCATCTGTATCCACTTACTCCTCAGATACCCTGCAGGGTCCTCACACACCCAGCTGGCCTCCCTGACCTCTTCCCAAAGTGATCCTTGTCCCACTTGCCACCCCCCTCCCCCCAAAGCACCTGGCTGGCCACATGTGTTCCTGTTGTTTTCAGAACACACCAGCCTTCCCCTCCCTGACCCTCTGCCCTCCTGGTTCCTGACCCTGTCCCACCTTCTCTGCAGGTTCTTACTTCTCCTTCAACCCCCAAATAGAAGATGACCTCTGAGGGACACCTGGGTGGCTGAGTTGGTTAAGCGTCTGATTTTGGCTCAGGTCACGATCTCATGGTTCATGAATTTGAGCCTCATGTCGGGCTCTGTGCTGACAGCTCAGAGCCCGGGGCCTGCTTCGAACTCTGTGTCTCCCTCTCTCTCTCTGTCCCTTTCCCACTTGAGCTCTCATTCTCTTTCTCAAAAGTAAATGGATAAATATTTAAAAAAAAAAAAAAAAAAGGGAGGAAGAAGAAGATGGTATTTGAATACCCTGGCCAGCTCTTCCTGTACTTAATGTGACTGCTCTTGTCATCCCACCACACAGCTTCAGTGTCTCTAAGTGCTCTCTAAGTGAGTCGTCTAGACAAAGGGGAAGAGGCACATCTCAGGGTGGGGAAGAGAAAGGGCACCTAGATGGAGGAAACAGCCTGGCTACAGGGAAAAGCAAGTATGAGTGTGGGATTAGCACCAATAGGTGGAGGGCTGTGTGTAGAGGCAGGACACTTGGCCTGGAGTCACATGGAGGGCTTCAAGGCCTCCTAGGAGAGGATGGGTTTTACTTCCACAACCCAGGAATGAGGACCCACACCCATAGCTCCTCGTTATGTTCTGCTCAGTATGGTGTCTGGGAGGCTCCTCTTTGGGCACAAGCAGGGGTTTCGTTGGTATAATACAGGGTGTGGAAGTATAGAGGGACCCATAGGCAGACAGTCCTGTCTGGCCTTCTCCCTGCCTGGGGCCCCAGAGCCGATGACCTCTTGGCTGAGGCCTGCTCCCATAGTCCTGCCATGCCCTCCCTCTCTCCCCTGAGATCTGGCCCCCAGCTTCTCTGGCCACTGAAGCGGCTTAATGAGCCCAGGTCACATGGGCTATGTTACTGCTTGTGGGGAGGGCCCAAGCCCCTATTGGCCACACGACCAGGCCCTGACGTCAGCAACATTAACCATGCACTAGGCTCGTCTAATCTCTGGTCAGTGGACAGGCTAGGTTAGTCCCGCCAGAGCCAGACCTGAAGACTGTGAGGGCCCTCAGGGGCACCTTGAGGTTGCAGGTCAGGCAGGGATGATGGTGACTGGAGGTGCCCAGGGTAAATGACCCCTACCTACAAGACTAGGGTGGGGCCACTATGCTGGCTTTGGGCCAGCTCTGATCCTCTGCCCTCAACTGTGAATCAGGCATTGGGCTCCCATTGATCCTGCTCTGTAGGGTATAATTATACTGGTGTGGTGAGTGAGGCCGAGGAGGCTTTGAGCTGAGAGACTCAGCTCCCCCTTCCCCCAACATTCTTGTGGCCATGGGCAGGGCAGCTTGAGTCCAGGCAGCATCCCCAGTCCATGGGATCCAGGAATGCCAGTCCTGAATCCCAGACCCTGGGGTCACAACTGTGTGTGGAGGGGACTCCCTAGAAGGTGGGGTCCAGCCCCTGCCTGGTGTTTGGGCTTCTCTCTGTCCCTTGCCCCAAGAAGGCTGGGAACTCATTACTTTTTTTCTAAGACAAGGTGACCATGTGGAAGACCTCATTAGCCCACCTCTCCTAACAGCTTCCTTTTTCCCAAGCCTACCACTTCCAGCCTCTCAAAGCCTCCTGTCTTCTGCCTTTCCTCTCCCCACTAAATCCCAAGCTTACTCCCCTGCCCCACTCACTCCAGTAAACTGGTCAATCAAAGGGTCCTTAGTGGAAATGAGCAGCCCTGGCTCATCCAGGCCTAAGACCGCCCAGTGAGGGCTGCAACCCCCTGGCCCAAATCCCATCCTTCCTCAAGCCTCCAAGCAGCACCAGCATGCCTGAGCTCCTTAATCCATCCAGTGCACACCTCCCCCCAGCACGCCCCCACCCCCACCCCATGCTCAGGTCTGGGCACCCTCACTCCTTTGCTCTCGGCTCACTTCTGGCTCACAGCTGCATCCTCCACCTGGACGTTGGAGATGCCACCCACACGATGCCTTCTGCCCAGCCCCAGGTATCTGTCTGCCTCTCGGACATCTCCTCCCCCAATGGCCATGGTCTGGAAAACTCAGTCCATTCAACACTCCTACGGTCCCAGCTTGCTGGGGGCGTCACATGCACTTGGTCAAATAGCACAGATCCAGACCATTGTGGCTGAGCCCCATCTGCAGATCCCGGCCCCACGGGGTCACGAGGACATGCCTCTTCCTCATGGGTCCTCCAGCCCAACTGCTTTCCTCCCCACGACCTCTCACACTGGCCTCCAGGGAAATTTGTGTGTCCCTACATACCTGCTTTCACAGAAAATGTTAATGATTACTTTTTCCAGAAACAGAATTGTAAAATATTATTGATGATTTATTTCCATTAAATCCAGGAAAATAAGATTATGAATTGTGTTAGATATACATAAAATAGTTAAGCTTAAAATAATGTTGAGCTTTAATATACTTACTTTCAATTTTTTCAGCTATTTTAATGTGCTATAAAAATTTTACCGTCAAAAACACACAACAACATATACAGGAGTGGACATTTTCCTTTTGCTTCAGGCTCCAATATGCCTCGATAGAGGGTCTCTTGGTCTTGTCTTTATTTAAAATTTTGATATTTTGTTTATCATGAGGGGCTTTTTTTGGCAGTAATTTAGAATTTAACAAGCATTGCATTGAAATATTACTTATCTTCATTACTGAGTTTTTTGGCACCACCTTAAATTTTGCACCCAAAGGTGAGTGCCTCTTTTGCCTCGCCCTGATCCCAGCCCTGCTATTATGTCCTAGCTTCAAGGGCTTCCAAGACCATCATCTTCTGGAGGAAGCCCAGGCCCTCAGGCTGGCACTTGGCACCTTCCCGTTGTCTCCCCACCCATGTCCTCTTTGCCTGTTACTGCCCTATTGAACTATGGCCCACAAGCCCCTCTTTCTGCGCCTTATACACTCTACTCTCCCTGCCAGAATAAGCTTCTACCTCAGAACTTCTCGATCCAAGATTGTCCCTGTGATCATTTCCCAGGGCCCCTTTCCCCTTCAGCCCCTCTCAAGAGGCACAGGTTGGTGCCATGCCCCCAAGAGTGCTCCTGCCACATCCCGTCAGGAAGGGATGATCTTCTCATTCACGTCCAACCCAACACTGGACACTTCATAAGTGCCCATAACTCGTGATAATTAATGCTCTTCCCTTCCCCACAAGAAAGGACAGCTGGGGCCTGATGCAAAGGTTTATTGCTGAGTCTGTGCATCTATCGGAGGGGGGTATGGACAGTGCTCTGGCCTCGTGAGACAGAAACCTCCCGTCCTCCGCTGCAACATAGGTCCTGGCCCACAGGCATCAGCAAGGACTCGAGACTTGGTGAGGAAGTAGGGAGCAGGGATATAGGGACATGGGCTTTTGTCCCTGACAAAATTCAGGCATGGCTCTCAGTTTTTTCTGCCAAGGAATGGGCCCTGAATGGAAAGGGTAAGAGGGACAAGAGGGTTACCTGGGTTTACTTATGACCCCACCTGAGGTAGACCCCTCTGGGCCCAACCTGGGCCTCAGGCAAATCCTCTGCCTGGGGCTGATCGATGGGAGCAGGACTCTGCCCCCAGCCACCCCTCAGGACAGTTTGACCATTGGCCACAGCTGGTGTCAACAGTACCCTCCCTCAAAACACCATCCCCTTGGCTGACTGGCCTGGAGTACTGGGTGGGGGGGATGAGGTAGGACATGGATCTGGTGTCCAAGGACAAGGACGGAGGGGCAGAGCCTGTGGGTGGAGGGTCTGGTGGGGGGTACTCTGAGCCTGCTATATGGGGAACAGTCCAGCTTGAGCCTCTTCCTGGCACCTGTGGTCTCCCAGGCCTGCCCCCCACTCCCTAATTCATCTATGAATTAGCCTGAGGCTGCACAGGCCAGACTGGCTTGGACTTTGGACCTTGGAAGCTACTGAGAGGGACAGTCACTGGCCACTGGGTAGACAGGTGTCAGACTTATCACATGGAGGTGGTAAAGCTGGAATGGGCTGATGGTCATCAGTAGGCCTACTTGGAGGAGGGATCCCTGCCTGCCCCCCTGCTCTTCAGGAAACTGGGAGGGAGGGCTGTTTGCTGAGCCCAGACCCACCAGGTGAGTCATGGGCCCCCTGCAGAGAGAGGCCAGCAGGAGATTGGTCAGTTGGGCACTGCTGAGTCATTGTGAGCTCTAGCTGCCCCAGGTCCTGCCTGCTCCTAGCTAGGGCTGGCTGGGGTGGGTCCTAGAGGCCAGTGCAGCCAGGCCGTGAAGGGCAGCAGTAGGGTTGGGGGAGAAGGGCTCTGCAATACCTGGGAACCACGGAGGAGGGTTGGGGCCTCAAGGCTAGTGGGGCTCAGGGCTTTGGGTCTGTGGCCGTTAGGGCCACAGGCTGGGGCCCAGGAGTGCTGGTGGGCTAACAGGCTCCTGTGGGCTAGGGCTAAAAGGCGGCTAGGGCTACAGGGTGTCAGGGACAGGTATGAGTTCAAGCACCTGTGAACAGAAAAAGGAGGCGAGTCAACATCCCAGAGCTCCAAAATACTTGGTCATAGGCTGAGAGACATTGTGGAGGTGGGCTTGTAAAGCAGTGACACCTGGGGGATTGAGGCCCAGTCAAAAGAGATTAGGTAGGTGGGACTTATGCACCAGGGATGGGGGCTGTGGGCAGTGGGGTGGAACCTGAGGGGCCAGGATGGGGCCTGGGGACTGGGGATGGAAACAGGCAGTGGAATTGGTCTGGAGAGCTGGGGCAGGACCTGATGACCTGAAGTGGGATCTGCTGTAGTGAGGTGGGGTGTGGAGCTGGGGAGGCGGTGTAATAAGGTATTGAGACCAAGGGGCAAGACAGGGGAGCATCCCAGACCTCGAGGAACCCACCTCAAAAGAGGCCGCAGTCTTTGAGGTTCTCCTTGATGATGATATCGGTGACAGCATCGAAGACAAACTTGACGTTCTGCGTGTCGGTAGCGCAAGTCATATGGGAATAGATCTCCTTCACGTCGCGACGCATGTTGAGCTCGAGGAACTGCACCTTGATGTAGTTGCCTGCGTCCTCGTACGTGTTGGGCCCTGGCGGGGAAGGGGAATGTGCTCACTTGGTGCCGGCAGTCCTTCCCGCGGCGGGAGAAGCGCGGGCCCAGATCATGGGGTTGGGACGCCGCCTGGCGGCCAGGCGAGGGGTGGGGGCGGTTCTCACCGTCGTAATCCGGGAAGCAGATGCTGAGATGTGCCTTTTTTATCTTCTCGGAGAAAACGTCCTTCTTGTTGAGGAAGAGCACAATGGACGTGGTAGCGAAGTAGCGGTGGTTGCAGATGCTGTTGAACAGGTGCAGGCTCTCGTGCATGCGGTTCTGAGGAGGGCAGAAGTTGTCGGACACCGGTAGACGGGCACACCAGCAGCTGCCCCTGCGCGGCCACGGCCCACAGGCTCCCAGGCACCAGGGGCCATCCAGCTCAGACAGCTCCAAGTCAGCTTCCCCCACTGCCCACCTCAGCGGGGCTGCTGGCTGTCTTGAGTCCTCATTCAGACTGTTCTGGAATTAATGTCCCCCCTCAGAAGCTCCCCGCTCCTGCAGCACTGTCTCCGGCTTTCTGTCTCAGGCCCTGCTTGGGACTCACCACTTCGTCATCCTCCACCAGCACCATGTCGTAGGCACTCAGTGCCGCGATGAAGATGATGCAGGTCACACCCTCGAAGCAATGGATCCACTTCTTGCGCTCAGAGCGCTGCCCGCCCACATCGAACATCCTGTGGGACAATCGGGGCCTGAACCCCTGCGCATCGAGCCCCCTGAACGTGCCCACAGGCATCCCCTGGCCTCCTAATGCTGGCTGGGGGACATTTGGATGGTACTGGCATGTGGAGGGGCCGGCCTTTCTGCGGGCAGGGTATCAGAGAAGGAACAGGGGCTCTGTAGGGATGGGGTCTCCAGGACCTGTTGGGGCCTCGGGGCGCTGCGCTCGGGCCAGACCCCTAGAGCAAGAGCAAAGGAGAGGGGTCGCGGGGTCGTACCGGAAGTTGAGGTCTTTGAAGGAGAACTGAGTCTCGATGATACCCGTAGTCTTGACACGCGAGCGCAGCACGTCCTGCTCCGTGGGCACGTAGCCTGGGGTTACCAGGCGCTCCAGGTCGGAGAGGTAGCTGCGGGAGACCGAGGAATGTGGGTGGGTTGGGTGGAGGGGTGTGGTAGGGCCCCACCCGCACCCTCAGGGCCCCCCCTTCGCCCCCCGCGCCTGCGCTCTCACTAGCCCGCTGAGTCGTTGAGCTGGTACTCAGAGGCGCGCTCGAAACAGGCCTGGATACCCGAGTCCTTCCACAGCCGCTGGATAATGTCCGACATCTCCTTGGGCATCGTACCCTCCTCGATGGTGTCCGCCATGTGCATCAACTTGCGGGCGTCGTCCTGAGGGCAGGGTGGGAGTGGTTGGAGGTGACTATGGACTTGAGCCCAGTCTTGAGCCCCCGGAGGCCCCGCTCAGCCAGTCTCCCTGCACACCTGGCGCGCAGAGTCTCCATATTGGATGTTGAGCGTGGTCATGGCACGCACGATAGCGAGGATGGACTGCAGCGTATTGCCGTAGATGATGGCAATGAACTCGAGGCACTCTTCCAGAGAGTACCCATCCTGGTGGATAATCCTAGAGCCAGGGCGAGCCAAGTCAGGGCCAAGTGGACTGGTGGGAAAGGACAGACCCTGTGGATGTACCCACCCCCAGAGGCCTCAGAAAGGGCAAGGGCACTCACTTCATCTGCTTGACAATGGTGCTCTTCCCGGACTCACCCGCACCTGGAAGGGAAGCCCCGCCTCAGAGCTGCACTGACAGCACCCCCCCCTCCCCGCAACCAGGCGCGAAGGTGGGGCCAGGCATACTCGAGGCACCATTCCAAACCCCAGTTCTACCTGTTTCTCCCCCAACCCCCGAAGTAAGGTCCTGACACCCTTGAGGAAATATTTTTGTAAATGTCAGGAGTGACAGCCGGACAATCAAAGACCTCAATTGTGCTGCAGAACTTCCAAGACCCTGGTATTCGCATTCTTGATTAGTCTGAGACCAAAATAAAGGAAACCTGGAGCGCCCCTTTGTGGAGAGTTCTGGTACTGTATGCAGGGGATTATTTGAGCCGGGTCAACCCCTGCTTTTCACCTGGTATGGGGAGAGGAGTGTCTCCAGAGGCTCAGAGAGAATTAGCACCTTTGAGGGGGGGAAAGACAGAGCTGACAGCCCCTCTGAGCCTGGTCTCGCCAGGGCTTTGGGCACAGTTAATGAGATTTCTGGCTTAGCCTCTATGTCTTCCCTGGGTTGCTCAGGCCTAGTCCCTCTGCCCACATCCAGCTGCCTGACAGGACCCTAGAGAGCCTGGGTGGAATGTACACTGCCCTTTCAAAGCAGATCCTTCTTCCACTTGTGAGGATCTAGTGGCCTGGGGGCACTGCATCAGCCCCACCACGCTCCTCACTACTGGTGAAACCAATGACATGGATTTATCTGTTTTCCGCTGGGCCTTAGTACCTTTGTACCCTCTTTAGGTCTGCCAACAACAAAGTTCTGGAATCTGAGGGCCATTGTTTGTGGACTCCCAGGAGGACTCTTACTGTCTTCCCAAGGGAGCAGCTCTATTTCGGGGCCCCCAAGAAAGCCCCTGGTTTCTGACCCTTGCCTAACAGGACTTCTCCAGAGGGGAGGGTGCCTGAAGGAGGGCCCTCTGGAGAGAGGTTTCATGGGATACCCAGCCTTGGGGAGTGGGGGTATCACCTATTAGACCCAGCCTTGCCTTGCCTGGCCAGGGATCCCACTCTGTTCCCTGGCCTGCCTCAGGGTCATTCTGCTTCCCAAGTCACCCCTGTTTCACAGCAGGGCTACCTGCTGGCCCCCCAGGCCTCTGACCTGGTGGCAGTGGCCCCACCTGGGCCCACACCCGTACCCAGAAGCAGCAGTTTCACGGTTCGAGCATCCTTCTCAGCATCTTCTTTTAGCTTCTTTTCCAGCTCCCTTGAGTGCTTCTCCTCGGCGCTGGCCCCAGCCCCCATGGTCCCGGCGGCCGGTGAACAGGGTGGTTAGTTGGTTCCTCTAGATGGAGGAGAGCCCCAGAGCCAGGCTCAGGCTGGCCTCAGGCCTCTGCAGACACCCTTCTGGCCTCAAGGCTGGCAATCAACTGGCTCCGCACAGACCTGTGCAGGCCCTGGTGGGGCTGCTTAGTGGGATTTGGGGGCCCGGGGTTCCCAAGAGCCAATGAGAGACAAGGACAGGTGAATCCAGCTCAGCCCCCAGCCCTTCTAATCAGGCTGGTGTGCCCCCAATCCCTCAACTGCTGACTCTGCACCCCTCTCTTCCTGCCCCAACCCTCTAAGAGACATCCTGGGGACAGTCCAGCCTCTGCACCAGAGCAGAGAGATGTGTTCCATAGGGTCCAAGCTTAGAAGGGGAAGAATAGGACTTTGAGTCCCCAAGGTGGGGGCAGTTGGGGTGGGGCTGGCAACAGGGAGTAGAGGGAGAAGCAAGCAAGGAGCACCTGCTCCTGCCCAGCCTTGGACTCAGTGCTGCTCCTTGTTTTGTAAGCTCACACGGGCCCTGGTGGATGGGTGCCTACACCATCAGCCCCATTTTACTGATGAGGAAGCAGAGGCTCAGAGGGTCACACAGAAGGAAGTGATTGAGAAGGGCTGGGTGACTTTGGACCAGGGTTCCATGCTCTGCGGAGTCAAGAAGGAAAGCAGGACATTGCATTTGCCTGGTACTGAGGGCTGGACCTGACCTGGGCAGGGCCTCTACATAACTCCATGATTCCAACAGACTTGGGGTGGGGGTGTACATGTTTACTATGTGTGCCTGGGTATGTGTGCGGCTATCCTTTGATGACATCAACGAAAGCAGTGACATGACACATTTGTCCCTATGTATACTTGTATGTACACATGTGCCTTTCTGTGTCATTGAGTACATGTGTGCTTATGCATGCCTGTGTACATGTGTGCCTGTGTATAGACATACTTTTATTTGTTTTTCCTTATGTGCATATGTGCATCTATGTGTACCTTGCTGGGCTTATGTGGATTAACATGTGCATCTATGTATTTTGCATGGCTGTATAAATGCTTGTACATGAGCAGTGCATGCATTAGCAGGCACATGACTATTTTTGCTTGTGCTTATGTGAGCATGTGCCTGTGTGCATGTGCATTTCTGCATGTGTATGCCTGTATGTGTGCATACTTGCATGGGCTTGTGCCTATGCGTACATGTGTACTTGACTGCAACAAGGTCTCTGACCTGCAGAGATGGCCAGGCTCTTCCAGAGACTGTTTGGCAGGCTTGTTGTCACATGTCTGCAAGTCCCAGAGCAGGTCTGGTGCTCCCAGGGGCATGGAGGAGTGAACTCCTCTCCCAAAACCTTCTCCTGATTTGCTCCCTGTGGGTGCTCTGGGACTTGCCCTGGGCATCTGTAGGGCATGCCTGCCTCAGCTTAGGGGGCCCAGTGTCCGTATACAGGTTCAGATGGCACAAGAAGTACTGCTGGGTTCAACTGAGCCTAACGTGTTGAGTTCCCAGGCCCTGGAGATTTCCTATCTACTATATAAAGACCCAAACCCTGGGCTCTCAAGCCTCCCTCCAGAGTCCCTGAGCCTCCTGGCTGGACTCCTCTGAGGAACCTGGCTGCCTTTCAGTACCCAACTCTGCTGCAGACCCAAGAGACCACAAGGGGGTGCCAGGGCCTCAGATCCTGAGTATTAGAGACTGTCCCTAAACATGTGGGAAATGGATACTGGCTCCTACCAGAGGCTGGTGGCTTCACGTCTACCCTATTGGGTGGGTGGGTGGGGTCTGTCCAGGAACAACAGATTATCTGTGCCATTTCAGCTTCCAGTGTCTACCCATCCTCTACCCGTCATATTGTAAGTGGGCCCTGGTGGGGATTTGGGACAGTGCAGGAGCCCAGGTTTGTTGAACTAATGCAAACCTGGTTTCTGCCTATTAGGTTTATTTAAAGTAGGGCCATCCGCTGCCTCCCAGTCCCCACCTGGCTCCCCTTGCCGGCCAGGTATGGCTGTAAGCCCTTCTGGACCCATGGGCCTCCCTAGATCTTAGCTTCCCCTGCCAGGGCTTGACTCATTCAATTTGGCCCAGGGCCCCCAACCCCACTTCCTCCTCTCCAGTGGCACTCCATCTGTCCTGGTCTTCACCACCTCTGGACATTTGCTCATGCCAGTCCCTCTGCTGAGAGCTGGCTGGAAGGAAGCAGGAAGGATGGGAATTTTGTCAATTCTCAGGGCAGGGGCAGCCAGACTGTGAGGGCTATGGTTTTGTCTTCCTAATTCTGAGCCCTTAGAGCCTGGCAGAGAGCCCACCGCAAAGCCAGGTGACAAAGCAATGTTGAACAAATAGTCAAACCTGTGAATGAGTGAATGGGAGCTGAACTTGCAAGAGAGGTGTGGGAATGATGGTCAGGCCATATAAAGGGGGGGAAGGAAGGACAGAATCTGGGCATGGACTGAAGCCCCATCCTCCCTCCCCTGCCAAGGAGAAAAGTCGAAGTCCAGTCCCAGAGCCAGTGTTTATTAGCGAGATGGAACCCAAGGGTGGCTGTGGCTAGGGCAGCCAAGGGCCACCAGGAGCCCCTACCCACCTACCCAAAAGCCCCCCAGAGCTATTTACACCCATCATCTGAAGTGGTGGGCAGAAGGGAGCCCCGGGGAGCCCCTGAAGGCCCCAGGCCTCCACCATGGGCCCCTCTCCCCTTGGCCCTACCTGTACCTGCCCCTCTGCTATTCTTCCAGCCCCCAAGTCACAGTGGCCCAGAAAAAGTGAAGAGGAGGTAGAGTGACCAGGCAGGGAGGGAAGGAGGGGCTGGAAGTGCACCCTGCCCATGCAGGGCTCCTCTGCTCCTGTCCCCAATAAATAGAGAATAAATACCGGGGAAGGGCTGGACTTGACTGAGTGTCCCTCCCAGGCTGGGGCCGGCCTCCTGTGACGGCCCCTTCTTCCCTTCTCTGAGTGCATCTGAGCCCCCCACCCCCACTCCCAGTCTCCAAAGCAGTCCTTGAATCTGCTTCTATGCCAATGGCACAGGCTGGTAGCACACACTGGCAAAGGTGTGCAGTCCGTTCCCTGTCCGGGTAGAGTTTGCTCCCTCCCTGTGTCCTGTAGATCCCGCCGGTGATGGCTGTCGAGCAGGTAGACTCCCAGCTGAGTCTGGGGACTGTGTGGTCCTGGCCTGGCCCTGCCAACTGGCTGGGCCTGGTTAAGTGGGCTCGGTTTCCTGCCGTCTCTGACCAGCGTAGGTCTAAGTTTTGGACGGTGCTGCCGCTGAGGCAGACTATATACAACCCACCAATAAATACTGTCTTTGCAGGGGCAGGGTGTGTATAGAATATAGATATTTTATATATATATATATATATATCTTTTATATTAAAAGGGACAAGGCCTAGGCTGGCCCATTTCAGGGCTCAGACAGCTGGCCTCATGTGTCTGGCGGGTGGTGACGGCGGTTCCGGGGCTTTTTCTGGTCCTGGGGTTCAGGAGGCCTGGGTGCCCCTGGGGCCTCCCTGGGGCTTGGGGGCACGTGGCGCCAGTAGCCCTGGCAGTACTGGTGGATGAGGCCCACTTCCGGCTGGGCCAGCAGCTGGGCCAGCTCCTGGTAAGGAGGTGTGGGGGGGCTGGCGCCTGGGGGTGGCGGGGCGCTCACAGCTGGCGGTGGGAAGAGGGCAGCATGGACGGCATCCCGGCCCAGTACGTGCAGCTGTACCCGTGTGACGACATGCTTGAAGTTGTTCTCGGTGGCCGTGCAGGAGTAGAGGCCGCGGTCACTGAGCTGCAGGGCGCGAAGCAGCAAGCCCTGCTCTGTGCGCAGGAAGCGGTCCTCCGCACGAATCTGCAGGGGCAGGGAGGGGGGCTCATGGGTTGTGTGACCACCTTGCTGCGTAGCCGGCTCCCAGAGCAGATCCCTTTTGTGCCCATTCCACGGAGGAGCTCCCATGTGGAATTTCCATGTACCAAGAAAAACCCCCAGTAGTTTTCCACATAACGTATGAATAAGGCATTCACACACATTTCCATCTCAGGATCATAAGGGGATTTCTGAATAATAAGAGAATTTTGGAGTAATCACAGAGAATTTCTTTTTAATGGGAACACCCAACTGGGGTATCCTTATAGAATTTCCACGTAAGGAGAGATGCATGGAAGTCATTTCCATGAAATGAGGGCTGCCCCTCAGAATACTCATATACTGGAGTTCAACCACATGACGTTTCCATATAATGAGGAATACCTCCAATGGAGCACACATATGGGAATTTTCCTGTAAACAGGCATGCTTGTAAGTGGTTACTATATAATGCAGAAATCCCCGAGTTTCCATATAGCTAGATTCACCTGAATGATTTCCACATAGGGAAGGGAACTTGGAAGGCCTTTCTTAGAATGGGGGCAGCCCCAGATGGGCACCTATATCACATTTCACCCACAGGGAATTTCTACTGCACAGGGGACTCCCGCATCCACGGTGGGGACTGTGGGGTACAAGAAATCACCTCACGGCGCCGGTCACTGGGATCTCGTTGGAACAGCCACTTAACGGTGGCCTGGGGCGAGCGAGGCTGGCACTCCAGGAAGGCTGCGCTCCCTGCCACACCGTACTGCACGGACTCCACGGTATTCTTGTTGGCTGTGGAACAAGGGGGCGCTGCATGAAAGCAGCATTGCCTCTGGGCAGACTGCAGGCTGGCCAGGGGCAGATGTCAAGGGACACATACAGGGACGCCCACCCTGTATAAAGGCAGGGCTGCACTCTCGGGCACCCACTCCTTGAGGGGGTGGCTGGGGACAGCCCATCTCCAAAATCTGAAGCCCCCTTATGCCCATGGACCACATGAGAATCCTTCCAGTAGGGGGCCCTGGGAGCAGCTCCATGGGCCTTGCAGGGTTCCACACTGTGAGGAGCGCCCAGTGGTGAGTCACAGCACACTCACCGTTGGAGTTGAACCCGCGACACTGCCTGATGGGGTTTCCATGCCGGACATCCTGCCGGCGGCTCCGCCTAGATGAGGATAGCTCCTCAGCAAGTATTCTCAGGCAAGTTTGCCCCCGCTCTAGCCCCCTGTACCCCAAGACTCCAGGTAGGCATCCCATTCATAAACTCCCCCAGGGTAATATACCCACCACCAAACCCCAAGGACAGGGCCCTGGGTCTGGTGGCTAAAATTCCATGGGCCTGGGGGGTCTGCACCTCTTGGAAGACGCTGTGTAGCGGGAACAGGCCTGGCCGTCCCAGGCACAGTAGGGGTCCCGGGCGAGGCAGCAGTCAGC